AATTACAGTGGAGCCTCATTTATCCGAACGCATTGGTTCCCCCTCAATTTTTCTTGACATGTGACGTATCTGGATACCTGAAATACCAGTTAAACAAGACAAAACAACATTAAAAACTTCTGTTCTGATGGAAAATTGTCCGGATACTAAAGCGTTCGGATATCTGGCATCTGGATATCTGAAGGTCCACTTTATATATTAATGATAATGAAAGGTGCTTCTTCCAAAATGGCTAATTTCTGGCCCCCTGGGTCAGGGGAACTTTGGGTGGGGATGGGGGGATACATTGTCTGAAAATAAATTAATGTTTTGAAATCTGCTCTTTGGTATTAATCAAACTTTTTTTAGCTCACCTCAACAAATTTGGGGGAAAGCTTATGTGATACCCTCGGCGTGGCGTCCAGGTTAAGGTTAAGTTTTTTTGAACAGTTTTCTTTTTAAGTACTTTTATGTCTTATATTAAATAGACATGCATGGAAGATGCTTCTAGCGTGTTTCATTGTACCAGTCAAAGTTTCAGATGCTGCAATTTCAGCAAAGAATGACCAGGTTAATGTTTTTGGAGCAGGTTAACATTTTTGGTGCAGTTTTTGGTTTAGGTCTCATTTAAGTACAGTCCCTGAAACGTTGTACTTTCCATTTTTCCGTTCATTCAACGTTCGTTCAGCATCCGTTCACTGTTCGCTCTCCGTTCACCATTATGCGTTCACCTTGCGCTGCTCATGTTCACTCTTCACGAAACGTTCACCATTCGCTCTTCGTTCTGTTTACTTTGCGTTCACCTTGCGTTCCCCGTTCACTTATCGTTCAGTCTTAATTTTCATATGGAACTCCGAAGTGAAAGGACTTATCTTTTTGATGGTAAGGATTTACACGTTTTTAAATTAAATAACCTTAGATATCGTGTTTGAAGAATAATTATTTCACTGCAGAAATTACCTATGATATTTATATTTCTATTAGTATAACTCAGCTGTTACTTTATTCATGAAATTTTCCTGGGAAATAATACATTAAGTACCTACATGTACATGTATGTAGAACGATGCTAAAATATTAAATTTTAAAAAGGGCAATGTACAAAAGCTTCATGCATGGCAATAATTTGTTGTAATTTTAAAGACGACAAATCATTAATGGATGCATAATAATTATTCCAAATCTTTTACAAAACAATACTACTCAAAAAAATTATTTCTACAGTAACACGTATTTTAAACTACATGTAGTTCTGAGAATTATGAACAGTATTTGAAGTACTGCAAATATTCAGTTAATTAAATAACTTTAGAGCTAATTAAATTGATAGTGTGATTTTAAATTTTAGAAAAGAAGAACTGTTTAAAATAGTCTATCATTATTTATTTATTTATTTATTTATTTATTTATTTATTTATTTATTTATTTATTATTTATTATAATTAGAGAAGGAAAATTCCTTCCTTCACTGTACCTAAATATATGTTTGCCATTCAGGATCATAGACACCCCCCCTTTTGAATAAAATTCTTCATGAGTATTTTCAGTATATTTTAATTAATATTTAATGTGTATTGTAACACAAGAAAATCGGTCTTAAAACCAACATCTAACAGTCATTAAACAATAGTAGTTTAGAATACACTTGTGCCGACAGTAGTATTTTAAATTGGCAGGGAATATTTATCAAATTCAATTTAAAGCTTAATCCTTCCAAGTATATATTCCCATTATTTATTTATTTCTTCTGCAAGAATGCAAAAGTCAGATCTAGAAATGATAGGGAAAAATATTAAAACTTCTTGAAAATACTAAGTGACTCTTTGCCTTCGGCATGTTCGGTGAAAACGATTTCCACTGTGTCGAATGATTTTGATTGACAGTCCACGCAACTTCCTGAGAACCATGTGAACTTGATGAAGGAAAATAAAAGCCAATGATTACTGTCAAATGAATTTGTTAATCTAGAAAATTTTATTACTTTTACTGCTTGGAATATTTAGGAAAAATAATAAGAATTTCATTTGATACAACAGATATCTGAGAATTGAGGGGGTATCTCTCTCTCTCTTGTACATTTCTCTGTTCAATAAAAACAATGACAGCACATCACTTATTTAGTTTTGAAAATTTAATTTATTACAAATAATTTGAATGCCTCTCTGCATCATCTTGACCGAATATAATCACGGCCGGGAAATGTCTACAGATACATGTAGAAGTAAGCTAAAATAATCATCATAAAAGAATACAAAAGACACATAAATAAAGAATATTTTGCATTAGAATTTTAAAATACGAGAGTTTTTATGCAATATGTCAACAGACAATTGTGAATTAAAAAAAAACAAAATCCGTTATTTTACTCAGATTCGCCTTGGCACGAAAATACATGTATGGTTGTTTTAACCGCGTACAATGTAATTAATTCATTCTATAAGTAGTAGTTTTATCTCTATAGTGAAAAGAATAAGCATATGTACTATATAAATAGATTAATTTTATATTTAAACTACACACGTTCAGTAACAAATACACATGTTTTACGGCAATTAAAATCGTGTTATAAAAAATCGATTTAAAACATTGGTACATATATGTACAGAAAAAAATGTTTTTATTATTTATTTATTTATTTATCTATTGTTTATTTATATTAAAGCACCTGGAATTAGAATTATAGAATAATTTCAATGCAAGGAAAAGGCATTCCGAATAAATCGTTCATCTTGCATTCACAGTTCGTTCACCGTTCACTTTGCGCTCACGTTCGCGCTCTGTTTGCGTTCTGCATTCACTCACTGTTCACCGTTCACATATCGTTCACCAAGTTGTGTTCAGCGTTCGCACATTGTTCACTCACCGTTCGCTCTGCGTTTGTTCACGGTTCATTCACCGTTCAGGTGGGAAAGTAGAGCATTTCAGGGACTGTAACTATAAGCCCTATGTTGACCAAACTTGCATTGATAATACATCTAAGGATGCACACTACCAAGCTTGCTTCAGATGCTGATTCTGACCTACATTTTCCGGTAGAGTGAACAGGTTAAAGCTTGTGGTGCAGGTTTCATTTCCAGGATACTACAAGGAACATACATTACGCAAGCGACAAAAATTGGCCGCAAACCAATTGGTCCTTTCATTGAAGCAATTAGAAACTGGAATGCTTGATCTGTTATTAAAATATCTTACATTTATCCTGTGACATTGAACATTTGCATGCGACATTGCAGAATTTCCTTTAATACATGAATACTGATGTACATTTACTACAATGTACATGTATAACTCCTACTCCTCTGCGTCTCCGTGCACAGTTTGGTACAAACCAACTCTGTCAGAAGTTTGATGTTTTTAAAGTAGTTTTTACATTTAAAGATTAAAACTAAAGTTTAAAATTATCTTAACCATAGAGATATATAGTTTTGCTTTAATAAAAATGCAACAGATAGTTGGGGCTCTTCGCTCGCTCTCAAAGGATGTTACCCCCCTCCCAACTCCCTCTAGATCCACCACCACATTTCTCCTCTTTGGTCACAAATGTGGTGGAAAAGGCTTGGCATATTATGAAACAGCTTTATCCTTATTGATGGAGCAAAATCTCGTAATATTCTGTCTGATAATAAATTGTCAGTTAATCATTTGGAAATTTTCTTTCGGAAATGTATGTGATATATACACGGCATTTTAAAATATATTCTTCAAAACCTGTTAAAATAGAGAAAGTAAAATTGTTTATACATGTACAGTAAACTGTATAACATGGACTCTGCTTTAGACCATTCCCAACACGTTTGCTGATTGTCTCTGCATCTCGGTAATGTCAGAGTTTGTCAATCAGAATTGGATGAAACTACCCCCTATTTACAAAATTTGAATTTTATGATATTTTGCGTATTTTGTTAAACATTTAAACACTCTGTTTTAATATTCAATTATATGAATATTAAATATTTTCATTTTAATTGTTTTAACTCCGCAGAAACGCACGACGACTTCAAACTTTCATATCAAATAACCGAGCGCCTCCTGGTGGCCTGTAATGAGCCCTATAATGACCAAACTTGCATGAATGGTACATCTTAGGATGCATACTGCCAGACTTGCTTTGGATGCTGAATCTGACCTACATTTTCTGGTTGAGTGAACAAGTCAAAGTTTTTGGTACAGTTTCATTTCCAAGTTGCTATGAGCTCTTTAATGACCAAACTTGCATGGATGATGCATCTTATGATGCATTCTACCAGACTTGCTTTGGATGCTGAATCTGACCTACATTTTCTGATTGAGTGAACAAGTCAAAGTTTTTGGTACAGTTTCATTTCCAAGTTGCTATGAGCTCTTTAATGACCAAACTTGCATGGATGATGCATCTCATGATGCATTCTACCAGGCTGGCTTCGGATGCTGAATCTGACCTACATTTTCTGGATGAGTGAAAAGGTTAGCTTTTTATGCAGGTTTCATTTCCAAGTAACTATGAGCCCTATATTGAGCAAACTTGCATGGATGATACATCTTAGGATGCACATTAATGGACTTGCTTCCGTTGCTGAATTCGACATACATTTTCCAGATAATGAACCAGGTAAAAGTTATGGGTGCAGGTCTGTTACCAAGAAACTATAAGGCTTATATAAACCAAACTTGCACAAATGATGCATCAAGGGATGAAAATGCTCAAACTTGCTTCAGATGCTGGATTTTGATTATGTTTTCATGATAAAGAACTAGTTTGAAGTTTTATATAGGTCTATTCGAAAGAATCAGATCAAAAGTGCATAAATTTTCAATTTGCGTGTTTGGATGTACACCTTTTGTTAGTTAATTGTGTGACTTTGCCTTAATTAAAGACAACATTCGTTGAGGTGATCTCTGTAATCTCTGATTACCTATGTTTTATAAAATAAAATTTTTGATAAAATTTCTAGAATTTTGAAATATGTGCCCCTTAATGGTCAGTGGTTCTTGTGAGGTTGGGTGACAAACTGGTAATGAAGTGGAAATGCATTTTCTCCTTGTTACTCTGATCTACCTCTGGGTATTAAGGAACCAAAGTAAGTATGCTAAGGCCAAAATAAAAAATACCTTTGTTTCCCCTAATGCGACTGACCCAGTTAAATCATGCCAACTGAAAAGATTTTTTAAATAAGATGATTCAAAAATTATTTTTATTGTTAACCAAGTTTTATAAAATACAATTTCATCAAAATCAGTTTTTGTCAGAAGGGCCGACATTGTTCTACTGTAATTTTCAAGCATTTGCTGGAAACAAAATGGCACCCACATGTGATTACAGAGAATTATAGTTCTTCATAAAACATCGGTGACATCTCAAACTTATGCCTTTGGCTAATTAGAATTCTTCACTCTTAAAACTCTTAAGGTATGTAATACATGGTAAGGCCCGCCTCATGAGCAGATGAGGGGCCCACCTAGTGAATACATCATTCAATTTCACTGTATTTTATATTTGAATTTTGATCTAATAACCAGTTCATCTATGTTCCTGTGTTTACTATATGTCATTACGGAACCATAAGAGTTGTTGTATTCATCCTGATAAATATAATTTAGATGTCCTTTCTTCATGCCTTTATGCATGGGTGAAACTTCATAACTATGTATATTGTATATAGCATTTTTAGCCGGGCTTATTGCTCAAAGAGCAATTGCCGGCTTATGTGATCCTGTTCAAGGCAGGATGTTAACCCAATAGTCGCCATTTTAAAGTTACGTGCGAAAATATAGTTCTTACTCTCAACCGCTTTTGAGGTAATACAAACGCTAAATAAAGCAAGAAAAATAAAACGAAGTTTTATCTATATAAAATAAACATTTGTATTAATGACTTTGAAAACTTCATAAGTCAAAGAACATAGTTCATTAGCGTAAGGATTTTTGATAATAAGTGTTACCGTAGTTCTCTACACATATGAGGTAAAGCAGGAGAGGGAACCAGACTGGCCTGTTTGTTTACATTCAGCTGCGGTACCAGATTAATTCTGATTCTGACAAAATCGGACCGTGGTATTAGGATTGAAAAACTCACTGTCAGTGTCTTATCATTTATATTGATAGTTTTAAAATAATTTTTTCATCAGAATATAAACGTGATTCATGTAAGAAATCCATTCTACTCTGTAAATGAGCCCGGCTCTCTGTACCTCTGAGTACTTTGATTATCATTTGTAGCTGCAGATCTGTAGAGTTATGGTTTTATATATTTGTCTTTCACCATATTTGTCTTTGAGCGTTATGGTAAAAGACAAATATATAAAACCATAATGCTACAGATCTGTAGCTATATCATTTGTAGATTGTGATTGGTTCAATTAAATATTGTTTACATACTCTTTCGCAATAGTTTTGAAATCATGATTCAGCTTCCTGAGACGTCCAGTGTATTTTTCTTTAATTAGGCCCTTGAAGATTGGTTGTTTAGTTGCTTTTAATCCCTTCGAGATTTGTTGGGACGACATTTGAACATTTCCCCATTGCTCCAAATTTAGACGTATGCGGCACTTTTTTGCCATTAAGCATTGGAGGATCTTTTTGAGCCAGCATCTTCTGCGACATTGGACATAAGTTTTTATGATCCCTTTTGAAGGACCGCATTCAACATTCTTCATTGGGATTTGAACCTGCGACTTAAAATTAGCCACTTACTTCTTAACTCCAAAGCAAAATGCTCTAGAACCACTGCAAATCCCATGGCCCTAAAAAAAGTACATTGATTGTCTACAAGCACTAAGAGGCTGATGGAAGGTTTGAAAAAATATACTCGGATGTCCGGTCTTTGCGTATTTGAGAAAAATTTTTTTATTCGATTTACATAAATGTACTCTGGCATGAGATATTTTACAATTCAACTGAATAACAGTTTTGAATTAATTAATAATGAATTTTGCTTTTAAACGGCATATGAATGATACTTAGCATTTTGTTCACAAATCGCTTTCTTTTGTACTTTTCTTATTTATAAAGATAATTCTCCATTAAATTTTAGAATGTACAGCTCAACGCACTTTTTAAAGTCACATGGTTTTTCGCACAAAATAAAGTCACATTTTTCTTGCAATAAAGCTTAAAATTATCGAGTTTCAGTACGAGATATAACCCTTATAGTTTTAAATTGTTTCATGTTAAAAGGTGCACATTCTATAAAATCATTATCTTTTGTTTTAAAAGTCAATGTTCTAAAAGGAAATTTGTTTTTAAATTGATTGATGTTAAATGTGTATGGTTCTATCAGAGGTTTTTACAAATTGATTTATGGAAATTTCTTTAATACTATTTGGTTGAAATGTTCAAATTTACTTCTTGATAAGTATTTTTCAAGGTACTGTGCACATTTTCCATACTTGTCTTGGTTTTGTCGAAATTCGGCACCGAAAAATGACAAAACTACATAAAGAAATTGGGTAAAAGGATAGGATAATAAAGTATTGTTTATGTTTCAACAAAGTAAATTGTTAATATCGAGAAGAGAATTCTTTTATATTTATTGTCTGAAACTTTAAAATTTTGCATTGGAAGGTATCTTTCAGGAAGTTAACCTGAAAAAATGCCATTTTTTTAACATGGAAAGCAGTCGAACAGATGAGAAATACTTCTATCATCTTGCGCCTTAGTGTTATATTAATGTTCAGAAAATACGGTAGTTACATGAACTGCACTCTTTCTGTATTAAGGAAAACCAAAAGTATGCTTTAAAATGAACGGATACAAAGACGGTTGAATTTGAAGAGAAACATGGAAAAAACCATTTGGAAACTCTCATAAGATATCAACCAAGAGCATATAACAATCCTATAAATTATTATGCGTGAATTATGGTTAAAGTAATGAAATATGATCAAAATTAAGTTTTAAATCATTTTCTAAATATAATTTGCTGTCACGTTACACAATTTTGCATTATAGTAATGTGACCTTAATTTGTGCGAAAAACCATGTGAGTTTAAAAAGTGTGTTGAGCTGTTATTTTCAAAGCTGCTGTTAGAAAAAAAAATTGTTTACCTACCTACCGACCCAACTTAAAAATTTAGGGTCGGGTTAGGGGAAATAAAGATATTTTTAAATCCAGCCTAAGTGTATAATTATGATAAACAATGGTGCTGCTTTCAAAATTGTGAATTTCATGGCCTTTGGTTTAAAACACAAACCAATTCATTTGTTGGAAAGTTGTTACATGATACTCAGGTGACCTATAAGGCCCATGGGCCTCTTGTTTTATCATTATTTCCTCATAATTTATCATTTAATTAGACATTTTAAACTCCTGTTTTACTCTAGTGTAAATTATAAATAAATGTTGATTAAATTAATGTTAATTTAATAGAAGTCTTGATGACACATCATTAATGATGCAATTTTATCCTTAAGAGATTAAAAATCCACTCAATTAAGCAACATTATAGCCACAGTAAAACAATTTATAGTGAAAACGCTTACAATGAATTGATGCTTACAGCAAATTGAGTTTCAATGACCTTAAAATGTATTGTAAACTTTAAGGATATAAAGAATTATGCTTATAACGAAGCAAAATCTTCCCTCCCTGATACTTCCTTATAAGCCTGTTTAACTGTACAGTAAAACTTGTTTAGTACAAACACGGATATTGCACATTCATGGATATAGCGAAGTTATCTTGGATCCCCAGCTATATGAATTTAACGAATTCCTTATACCGATATAACGAATTACGGATATAGTGAAGTAATTTCACAGGTTCAGGGGACTTTGTTTTAACCTAGTTTTACTGTACAATCATTAATTAGATTTTTTTTATCATTTATGGTTGCTACATGAACATAGCCCTAGGGTTTGGCTGTGGCAGTACTAGGAAATGAGAATAAATTACATGAATAAGTACTTATCTGATCAAAATTTGTCTGTTGTCTGTTATCGTCGACGTTGGTGTTGTTGTTCTTCTCGTTGTCAACTTTTCACATTTTCATCTTCTCGAGAACCACTGGACCAATCTTAACCAAACTTTCCCGTTTGAACATGGTTAAGATTTAATTCGGAGTAACTTACATTTCATTTGAATAAAACTCTCATGTGAACAGGGCATAAAAATTCTTTTTAAAATTTAATTTGGAGTACCTTACATTAAATCCAAATTAAGCTCTCATGTGTTCAAGGCATAAAAATTCTAGTTCCAGGTAGGGCCAAGTTGACATATGATGAGAAATTTTTGATACACAGGTCTATCAAGGAATATCATCCTTATGTTGAACAGTTGCAAAATCCTTCTGCTTAACTAAGACATAAAATATACTTTTTAGCTCACCTGAGCTTAAGGTTCAAGTGAGCTTTTCTGATCACATTTTGTCCTTCGTCCGTCCGTCTGTAGACTTACACATTTTTGACTTCTTCTCAAGAACCAATGGGCCAATTTTAACCAAACTTGGTACAAAGCATCCTTGGGTGAAGGGGAGTTTAAATTGTTTAAATTAAGGGCCAAGTCCCCTTAGAAAGGGAGATAATCAAGAAAAGACAAAAATAGCGTAGGGTCATTAAAAAATCTTCCTCTCAGGAACCACTGGGCCAGGAAAGCTGAAACTTATGTGGAAGCATCCTTGGGTAGTTTAGATATTAAATTGTTAATATCATGACCCAAGGGATATAGGGTGGGGCCACAATAGGGAATTCCAAGTTTTACATAGAAATATATAGAAAAAATATTTAAAAATCTTCTTCTCAAGAACCACTGGGCCAGGATACTGTAGATTCCTAATTATATGCGAAGAATTAATTTCCGCGTAATTTCGCGAGAAGCATCACTCGCGAAAAAACATCACTCGTTTTTATTTTTATGGTGCTGAAATCTATGTAAATTCTGTTAATCAACCGTCCATTCGTGAATCATAATTCTCGCGATTTGACATGAAAGACCCAGTTCACGATAAAAAGTTCTCGCGAAAAATAAGGAATCTCAGTAGCTGAAACTTATGTGGAAGCATCCTTTGGTAGTGTAGATATTAAATTGTTAAAATTATGACCCCTGGGGGTAGGGCGGGGCCACAATAGGGAATCCAAGTTTTACTTAGAAATATATAGAACAAATCTTTAAGAATCTTTTTCTCAAGAACCACTGGGCCAGAAAAGCTGAAACTTATGTGGAAGCATGCTTGGGTAGTGTAGATATTAAATTGTTAAAATTATGACCCCTGGGGGTAGGCAGGGCCACAATAGGGAATTCCAAGTTTTACATAAAATTTTACAAATCATGACCCCTGGGGGTGGGGCAGGGCCACAATAGGGAATCCAAGTTTTACATTGATATATTTGGGAAAAGTATTTGAAGAATCTTCTTTTCAAAAACCACTGGACCATGAAAGCTGAAACTTATTTGGAAGTATCCTTGGGTAGTGTAGATTGTAAAGTATTAAAATCATAAAAGGGAGGGCATGATAGGAATAGCAAGAGGGGAAATCAGGTAAAGAACTGCATCACCCAAGTTACTCAGGTGAGCGTTGTGGCCCATGGGCCTCTTGTTTTATCAGGGTGTAGATTTGCAGAAAACTGTGGAAGCTGGATACTTTATTTCAAAAGTGCTAGGACGTAGTACTCAATCTAAAGTTGGACAAGCAATGAAGTCATCATTATAAGAAGAGAAAACACGATTTGATTATTTTCTTTGTGTGGCTACACCTAGGGGATTCATCATCTGAATTGTACTTACATCTGAAGAAGAATATAATGCATAAAGAACTGTTTAAAACAGTTTTGTGTCCATAATGCTTTCACTTACTGTAAATGTATTATATTTTGTGTGTACAATATTTGGCATAAAATTATTCACTTTTATATACTTGATTTCAAGGTTGCAGCTTTCCAAATGTATACTAGCGGGAAAAAGAAACTGTGCATTATAAGGTGTAGTAAAAAAATTATATATTTATTGTTTATATTAATACAATATAAACAGCCGATGAAGGTGATGTTTTTTAACAATATCTGATAATACCCGACTCAGATGCATGGACTTTTCATGGTTAGTGAGCACATGTTGATTATTGATGTTTTCGTATGAGTTTTACTGGCCAAAATTGTTTGGAGAAATAACTGTATAACGTCTATTTGAACTCAATTCGTTAAGGAAAGCACTTTAGTTTTGACCAAATTTACTATTCTGTCATGCCACGACTCAGCGAAAACCAACGTAATATTGCTGTTGGAATGCTTCAAGCAGGAATGGCACAAAATATCATAGCAGGACACTTTGGAGTTCATCGAAACACCATCCAGTCATTATGGAGAAGTTTTCAACAATTTTTCTGGTACTCCTCGGGATCGACCCCATTCTGGGCCTACTCGCATGAGGTCGCATTGACAGGACAACAACAGTAGACTTGTGCACCTGAGAAATCGTTTCCAGACTGCAAGTTTGACTGCTTGAAGCATTCCTGGACTTTGACCAATCAGTCCAAGAACTGTGCGAAATCGTCTGCGCAAGCCTAACATCAAATCAAGACGTCCAGTTGTGCGCCCAATACTGATTCAACGTCATCGTACCGCTAGGCTAGCATGGTGCAGACGACATCTATGATTCAGAATACAGGATTGGTCCAATATTCTGTTCACTGATGAATCCAGATTTCAATTGGATAGCAGTGACGACCGTTGTAGAGTGTATCATCGCACTGGGAGCGGTACCAGGATGCTTGTGTTGTGCAACGGCGACAATTCGGTGGAGGTAGCATTATGGTGTGGGGTGGAATCACAGCACATGGAAGGACCCCTGTACAAATTGTCAATGAAAATCTGACCGGCGTACGCTATAGAGATGAAATTATTCAGCGACATGTGATACCCTTTATACAGAGACAACAAAATCACATCACTCTTCAGCAAGACAATGCAAGGCCAAATGTTGCATGTGTAGTCAGGTTTGTTTTTGTTCAACAGAATGTTGATGTCTTGCCTTGGTCAGCTGCTTCTCCCGATTTATCGCCTATCGAGCACGTTAGGGATGAAATAGAACGACGTCTTCGCCGTTTGCCAAATCAGCCAATGACGTTGGCTGATTTAGGCCAGGCCTTAACCAACATCTGGAACAACATCCCTCAAGCATATCTGAACACTTTAATTGCATCAATGAGATGCTGATGTCAAGCATGTATGAATGCAAATGGTGGTCACACGCATTATTAACTTTGTTAATTCAAGTTTGAATACCAGTGTCTTTCCAGTGTGCTGAAATTGATGTTAGTTAACGTTAACATTTATGGATTAGGAAATGTTGTAACAAATACATTTGTTATCAGTATTACAAAAATAAAATTTGTTTATTGTTATTTTTTATAATTTTTTTCATAATAAATATAATGCACAGTTTCTTTTTTCCGTTAGTATATTATCAATAGATAGCCCTTTACCTGTTTATCTAGGCGCAGGTCCAGAAATTGAAGTTTGGAGGGGGAGAGGGAGAGGTAGGCAGGGGAGACCGTGAAGCTTTTGGATTCCAGAGATTTTGTAGGGTAAAAAAAGGTCTACCAAACAGACGTTTTAGCTCACCTCAACAAAGTTTGGAGTTGATTATTGTGAAACCCTGGGCGTTGGTGTCGGTGTTGGCGGGACACATTTTTAGCTCACCTGAGCGAAAGGCTCAAGTGAGCTTTTCTGATCACATTTTGTCCGTCGTCTGTCTGTTGGTCCGTAGCTATCCATCTGTCTGTCCGTACATTTGTAAACTTTTCTTCATTTTTTTTACTTCTTCTCAAGTACCATGGGGTAATTTAAACCAAACTTGGTACAAAGCATCCATGGGTAAAAGGAGTTTAAATTGCTAGAATGAAAGGCCAAGTCCTTTCCTAAGTAGAGATAACGAGTTTCAAAGTTTATTTAATGAATCCAAGTTTACAATGTCTCCGTGATAGTATAGATTTTTAGTAAGAGTTTTTGAAATGTGATCCGAATAAACCAATGCTCTGATATAACGTTCAAAAAATCCGTCCAAAATACAAAAAGCCGAAGACCGAACTCCCAACAATTAAATAAGCAAATGTCCAAAAGAATGATTCTCAAAAATAGAATAAGAAAGAGTTGATAATTTTAGAATAAGACCGGGAATAAAAACAGGAATATATAGGAATGAGAGCGGGAATGCTCTTTTCTGACAAAAACAGGGTATTTTGTGCTCAATAGGTATCCTTGGTCCCGGATATAAAAATGCATTTTATTGGCTAACCCACAATCACTTATCACCTACGCTTTGCCCGTTGACCTCTGATCCCCAATGTGGCACCACCCTCATATGCAAGTAAACACTCAGTACTAATATTTATGGGCTCAGTCCCCATCTCTACACCACAGGAGTTCAAGCCGTAAGCTCTTTTACTTATTTACTTCAAAGTTCCCAATTTTTTGCTCTTGGTCAAAAATGGTAATAATACCATGTATTTCCGTTCAAATTTTATTACCTACTATCGATGGACTTGATTGGTCTATTCGGATCAATGTCATTACCAAACGATTTACCAAATTATAGTACATGGGAACAACAACAAAAGCCAATGTGTTTTAACAAGATAATAATAGTTCACAAAATTAAAGTCCTTTTTCCAGTTCGTGATACTAATAATATACATTCTGATTTAATAAACCATTATATTTTTAATTTAATTTCAATTTACTTTCACTACTAATAACTAAAAATGATTATGATATTCATATTGTCTAAGTTTATGATGTTTAAATAATATGTCTGTGCTAAACCTTATACAGGGTGTTTCATAATATATGTTACATTTTGAGATCTGATTATTTTTCTTTCCTAACATATTTTTATTACAACCTTTATATCATTTTAAACATCGAATCCTGCATTTATGATCCATGTGAAAAAGTCAAGGAAATCGTTGTCATGCAATGACTAATTGTGCTATAAATGCTGATGTCAGAATTTGAATATTTCTCAAAATGGACTTGACATACACTCTGAGTGCTGATTGTAAAGCTATTTTTTTTTCAAATCATGTCGCCAATATCCATTCCATTCATTCACAAGTTCATCAAATAAATTTTCAAAAAAAAGGAAGCTTTCTAGGATGCTTATCAGAAGGGTAGTTACAAGGTTAAAAGACAGGGGCGACAGTATGCAATAAATGACACAGTATTCCAGGAAGTCAAAAGACTTTAAGAAGTGGAGATTTTATTGGTGAAGTCGATCTCTTAGTGTAGCAAACTTCTGAGAAAAGTGTCTGATAGGTATTTTCAGAAATTTATTTTGGCAATATCAGCAATTTCAGCATATAATGCACTTTAAAATATGATTTGAAGTAATGAGTATACAAATTTTCAATAATTTATGCAAGGAAAGAGTTTGACCTCTGCATTCGAATATCTCAATTTTGGGCTCTTTTCTTGGGGGGGGGGGTCTTAAGGAACAGGGTCTACAATCCTAGACCACAGATATTGAGTGAGCTTAAAAAGATTATGGACCTTCAAATGAGTGTCTATGCAAAAATATGTGACAAGATTATATACAAATTTCAAGAAGCAACTTCATTTGTTGTTGAATTAATGGAGATCATTTGGAACATGTAATGTGAACTTTTGACGTTGTGAAATTCAACGTAGCAAAAATGGCACAACCCGGAATTTTCGCTAATTTTCATAAATGTTCAAGATTTTGTTTAGTGTTTAATTTTTTAGTTGGTAATTGAACATTATGAATCTTATGGATACATGCATCAATTTCATAAAAAGACTTATCTGTATATTTTTCTTTTGTCTGTCAAATTTAAGACTCAAAATGTAACATATATTATGAAACACCCTGTAGGTTGAAAAGCGGGTAAATATATATCAGAATGTCCGTCCGCCTGTACGTCCGTCCGTCTATTACGTTTAAAGGTACCCATCTCTTATCCAAAATTCCTTTCATACCACTGAATTAAATTTGATGCAACTTTCACAGAATCTTTATTACATATTGCCATTGTGCACCTCCTTTTTTACTTTTTGATCCGACACATATTTTGGATTTTCCATAGCAAAACATGGACCCTACCATTTTATTCATATTGGAGGCAAAAGGGGTGTGTAATTTAGAGAGTTTATTGCTTACAGTACATGTACCTTAGTTTTTTTCTGATTTTAGTATCTACCTGCATATAGGTATTTTATAGGAAACTTTTTTTTAAATATCCAGTGCATACAAATAAAGATCTATTTGATTTGAAATAAACATTGTTGGCCAAAACAAATTCATAGAAAAATATTTAATAAAATGATTAAAAACATGCTTATTATGACGAAATGAATCTTAAGGTTCATAAACCCTCTGCTCACTCATATAAAATGTTGCTTGAACCTTAATGATTGTCCAAAAGAAAAGTATTTTATAAGTAAAATTCCGACAAGTATAGCATAGCTTGCGGGGCAAAATTGGACAAAAAAGACACTTCAACTTGACAAATCTATAAAGGAATAATAGACATTTATGTCATTAAGAGTTATCTCTCTTATCAGAGTATCAATGACCCTTAAGAAAGGTATTATTGTATATTTGAAAAATCATGAACATTACTAGTGTCTATTTTATTCATTAATTACGCAAAGCAATTATGCATAAAACTCACCAAGACATTATTTAGAGACGGAAATGTCTTTGGTGTTGTTCATGTTTTCATCAGGTTTTATAATAGTATATTTTTTCAAAGATAGAAGCAAGATGACATCAAGATTTGTTTTAACTTCTCCGTGACATAAGACTGCATATGACATAAATAATCAAAGGCTATAAGCACTGCGTGTATTTTTTAAACTGGTCCCTCGGAAGATTATATAGCCTTTCAAATAAT